AAAATGGATATGAGATTTGGCAATTGGAATGTTCGAAGTTTGTATAGGGCAGGTTCGCTCAGGGCAGTGGCAGAAGAAACCTTAAAATATAAGTTAAATTTAGCGGGAGTACAGGAGGTGAGATGGGATGGAGCTGGCGTCGCACCAGCAGAAGAATATATATTTTTTTTGTGGAAAGGGGAATGAAAATCATGAATTAGGTATAGGTTTTTTTTGTACATAAGATAAGAGTATCAGCAGTTAATAGGGTAGAGTTCGTAGAGATAGGATATCATATATAATACTAAAAGGTACCTGGTGTGATATTATTGTTATGAATGTTCATGCCTCAACAGAAGATAAAACTTATGACATAAAGGAGAGATTCTATGAAGAACTAGAACATGTATTTGATAAATTCCTGAAGTACCCTATGAAAATTTTGTTAGCAGATTTCAATGCCGAAGTAGGGAGGTAAGCCATTTTCAGACCAACGATTGGGAATGACAGTTAGCATGAAATCAGCAATGATAATGAAGTCAGAGTAGTAAACTTTGCCACACCAAAAAATCTTACTGTCAAAAGTACAATGTTCCCACATTGTAACATCCATAAATTTATTTGGACACCTCCTGATGGGAAGATACACAATCAAATAGACCATATTTTGATAGACAGCAGACGCCACTCAAGTATACTTGATGTCCGATCATTCAGGGCAGCAGACTGTGATACTGACCACTACCTGGTGGTGGCAAAGGATAGGGAAAGACAGGCAGCGAGCAAACAAACAACACACAGAGTTCATATGGAGAGGTTTAATCTCAAGAAATTAAATGAGGTAGAGGGTAAGGGGCATTATTGTGTTGAAATCTCAAATAGGTTCGCTGCTTTGGAAACCTTGGAAACTGAGGTTGATGTTAATAAAGCTAGGGAAACTATTAGAGAGAATATAAAGATGTCTGCCAAAGAGAGTCTATGTTGAAGAAAGCAGTCTTCTGGGATTTGGCACCGTGTATATGTGGTGTTAACCGACGTTTCGGAGGAACGTATCGCCTCCATCTTCAGGGTCCGCTTTTACCGGTTCTCACGGTCTCTCCGCTTGCAGAATTCTTATATTTTTCTTCTACCCTGAAGATGGAGGCGATACGTTCCTCCGAAACGTCGGTTAACACCACATATACACGGTGCCAAATCCCAGAAGACTGCTTTCTTCAACATAGACTCTCTTTGGCAGACATCTTTATATTCTCTCTAATAGTTTCCCTAGCTTTATTAACATCAACCTCAGTTTCCAAGGTTTCCAAAGCAGCGAACCTATTTGAGATTTCAACACAATAATGCCCCTTACCCTCTACCTCATTTAATTTCTTGAGATTAAACCTCTCCATATGAACTCTGTGTGTTGTTTGTTTGCTCGCTGCCTGTCTTTCCCTATCCTTTGCCACCACCAGGTAGTGGTCAGTATCACAGTCTGCTGCCCTGAATGATCGGACATCAAGTATACTTGAGTGGCGTCTGCTGTCTATCAAAATATGGTCTATTTGATTGTGTATCTTCCCATCAGGAGGTGTCCAAATAAATTTATGGATGTTACAATGTGGGAACATTGTACTTTTGACAGTAAGATTTTTTGGTGTGGCAAAGTTTACTACTCTGACTTCATTATCATTGNTATGATATTATTGGGGATCATCAGTTTTGGTTTCGACGTAACAGATCAACTACAGATCATATCTTTCGCATTCGTCAGTTATTGGAGAAAAAATGGGAGTACGATGAGACAGTACATCAGCTATTCATAGACTTCTAGAAATCCTATGATTCAGTCAGGAGGGAAGTATTGTACAATATTCTGATAAGGTTTGGAATACCCATGAAACTAGTTGGGTGGATTAAAACGTGTTTACGCGCCATAGCTCAAGCGGTTAGTCGCTGGCTTCCCACCGTGGCGGCCCGGGTTCGATCCCGGGTCTGGTCTACTGGGATTTGTGGAGGACAAAGTGGCGTTGGGGCAGGTTTTCTCCGAGTACTTCGGTTTCCCCTCCCTATCCTCATCCCACCAATTTTTCCACAATCACCCTCACCTATCATCTTGGGCTGGTACAATAGGCCAGAAGTGGCTGCAGTACAAGGGACTTAGTCCCACCCCACTAGCATTAAAACAAATCCGTGTTTAAACGAAACCTATAGTAAAGTCCGTGTAGGTAAACATTCATCTGATAAAGTTCCTATTCAGAATGGTCTAAAACAAGGAGATGCTTAATGGCCATTCCTTTTCAACTTTGCTTTGGAATATGCCATTAGGAAGGTCCAAGGAAACCAGGTGGCACTGAAATTAAACGGGACACATCAGGTGTTGGCCTATGCCGATGATGTGAATCTACTGGGTGACAATGTAGATACCACAATAAAAAAACACACAAACTTTAATTGACGCAAGTAAAGAGGTCGGTCTAGAAGTAAACAGAGAAAACTAAGTATATGTTGCCGCCTCGTCACCAAAACACAGGGCAAAATCATGACATAAAGATAGGAAACAGATGTTTTGAAAATGTGGCACAGTTCAGATATTTGGGAACAATGATAACAGATCGAAACCCAATTCAGGAGAAAATTAAGAGGAGATTGAACTCGGGTAATGCTAGCTACCATTCGGTTCAGAACCTTTTGTCTTCTCATCTGCTGTCCAAAAACATAAAAATTAGAATATACAAAACTATAATTTTGCCTGTGTTTCTGTATGGGTGTGAAACTTGGTTTCTGATATTAAGGGAGGAACATAGACTGAGGGTGTTTGAGAACAGGGGGGTTGAGGAGAATATTTGGACCGAAGAGAGATGAAGTGACAGGAGGTTGGAGAAAACTACATAATGAGGAGCTTCATAACTTGTACTCTTTTCCAAGTATAATTAGAATGATCAATTCTAGGAGGATGAGGTGGGCAGGGCAGTAGCACGAATGGGGGAGACGAGGAATGCGTATAGGATATTGGTGAGAAAGCCAGACAGAAAGAGACCACTGGGAAGACCAAGGCATAGGTGGGTGGACAATATTAAAATGGATCTTAGAGACAGGATGGAATGGTATGAATTGGACTGATCTGGTTCAGGATAGGGACCAGTGGAGGGCTCTTGTGAACACGGTAATGAACCCTTGGGTTCCATAAAATGGTGGGAAATTCTTGAGTAGCTGCAGAATTGGTGGCTCCTCCAGAAGGGCTCACTTCCATGAGTAGGTAAGTAACTGACGGAACTGTTCAAAAGGAGTTCGTCCCTCGTGGTCAGACAGTCAATATAGAGTTCTATCGCGATGTTCTAAGGTGTTTGAGGGAGGACATGAGGAGAAAACGTCCAGAGAAGTGGCGCACGAACGACTGGGTACTCCATCATGACAACGCATACGGCTTACATTGTGCAGGAATTTTTGGCTAAAAACAAGATGGCAGTTGATCCCCACCCACCGTACTCGCCAGACTTAGCTCCATGCGACTTCTTCCTCTTCCCCAAGATGAAAATCAAGTTGAAGGGGCAAAGATTTGATACAGTTGAGGAAATTCAAGCGGAAACGCAGAAGTTACTAAACACCCTAACAAAGAAAGACTTCCAGGATGCATTTCAAAAGTGGCAGAAACGCTTGGCTCGGTGTATGCGCTCCCAAGGGGACTACTTTGAAGGTGATGGTGCGGAATAAGATCTAGGTAAGCTGTAATAGTTTTTATTAATATATTTCGGGAACTTTTGGATTGCACCACGTACGATATATACATGGGTCCCAGAAATGCCTAAAGTATTTGGAGCATTTTTGGTGGTTAAAAATGGAACGAAGCCCCTATAAACATAACTCTGTAAGAGCATCTCTCCCGAGATATGGTCTCATTTTGTTTAGGTTTCATTGCTAAAGAATGTTTCACAAAGGACGGGATCTTCAGCTTCCGTAATGTTCATGATATGATGAAAATCCCTATGTACTAAGATCCTGCAAACATGAGCAGCAATTTTAGTCAGTGTATGGCCAGGTGTTGTCAGCAATGAGTTAACCAGCCCATATTAGTTACAGACGTCTTAATGAACAGACATATAATCTTTTATTTTAACAATATGCACTGCCAGCTCTCCTAGAAGGTAAACCACTTGGGCTGAGAAACACTATGTAGCTCATGCATGATGGCATTCATGGCACAAGAACTGCGGAATGAAAGCTTTGGCTTTCAGTGGATTGAATGTGGATTGGCCAGTCAGACACCTCACTTTAATGTCTGTGCCTGCAGCTGAGGGCATCTACGTTCAAATCGTCAACACAAAAGAAGAACTTTGGCAGTGGATTCAAAACGTATGCCACACTGTTCACATAAAGCCTAGACTCTTCAAGCACATCAAGCAGGCCTTAATGCATAGGGATAAACTGCGCAGATAAATGGTTGGAGACGATTTTCACAATTGACTTTACAACTATAGTTTTAAAACCTTTGTCTTTAAGGCAAAGTTTATTAAAGTAGTTATAGTTTTACTTCCTGATGTGGTTTTGCGAGTCCTTCTGGGGTGCCCCCCCCCCCAGAGCCGCTTGCTTTACTTTCAACTTCCCGATATATTTCCAAACTTTTCGGTGATATTTCTAGGACACTTGTGTACATCAGCCACCTTTCCCAAACTTACTCATATAATAAAATGCTCATCATTATTACAAGGGTTGAAAAATTCATCTCACTGCTCTTCAGAGAGAGAAAAAAAAAACACTGTGTCCTGGTGCATTAAGTTACGCATAGGAATATACTGTAATATACATACCGTACATCCAAACGCTTGCCTACATTTCTCACGAGAGACAGGTCCCCATAAATACAACAGTACGCCATAAAGAAACTGGGCATGCTACGTTAACCACCACCACATGACACTTGCTTATTTATAAATGTCGGTTCTACGAATATTTCGGCAGTGGCTGGCAACACAGGATAGGAATTACGCAAAGGCAGTCTTATACCCTCAGGGCACTGTAGGTTGTAAAAAACAAAATATATAAGTTATGCCATAAGTCAAAGAACGAGACTGCTGCTCATCTAGTTCCTAATAAATGCCTTCTGCATCATAATCATACCAACTGCACAATGCAGTCTTTTTTTATATAGTTTAATTATGTCTCGCACTATTTACGTCTGTCAATAGCCGCGCTTACGCCGATAGCTGGATATGATACGAATTCGAACATCTTCCAGCCACTGCCGCATGTCAGCCTTTAGGTCGCGCATTTTCACACGTATTTCTTCACGCATCAAATTGTAACACATCGCGATAAGACCCATTCCTAGGAGCAGATACACAAAATTGATGATCAGTTTTGTCTGACTGCCACTATTGAGAGCTTCAAGGATGTTTGCTCCAGGCACAAAGTCTCCGATCCCAATTTTACAAAGACTAGTCACACAGAAATACGTGCTATCAAGATATTCCCATCCTTCCCACTCCGCGAACATGATTGTTCCAGTGAGCACATAGCCACCCATAACCCAAAGACAGGCGGTGGATGGGACAATTATACGGGGGGCTGGGGTTGGGGGCAGATTGCTCTCAGAATCATGGTCGCCTACACCCTCTTCACTACACTCGTACAAACGCCTGTATAGCCAGCGAAACGTTGAAGCCAGAACCTTCCCCATGTTCATGAAGTACAACACATACAGCGGAATTCCAAAAACAGCATACAGTACGGTGAGACCTTTCCCCATTGGTGTTTTGGGGACGATATTTCCGTAGCCGATCATGGTGAATACAGCCAAGCAGAACATCAAGGAGGCTGGGAAGGTCCATAAATCCTCATTGATTCTACCATTATAACCTTCTTTATAAGCTTTCGCAAAATCATTCTGGAAGACTTTCAGCACCCTGTCAACCTCACTACGCCAGGCAGTTTCGTTGAAAGTGAACCCACTAACAGTCAAATTCCAGATGTCACAAACACATGTCGCATGAAGTTTTGCCACATTTTCATTTTGAGGATTCTTCCAGTCCTTCTCAATCCACATGAAACCAAAAGCTCCGACAATGGCATAACCAACCACGAGGCCACCTACTCCAACCTGAGTACACATAAACGCCACCAACTTTCGGCAACAATCCTTCACCTTCTCGCGGGGATCACTAGTCGTCGTCGACGACGAACCTCGACTACGCACGGAGCTTCGAACCCCGGACACACCAATGGATCCCATCTTCTTCAATCGATGGCTTTCCGACAACTGAAATTGTTTCCCCACTGACGCAGCCACGGAGCCCACCCCAGCTATTTCTAGACACACCACTTGGCACCGCGCCCTGCTACGCTATCAACTGGCAACATCACTGTCTCGCAAATTCACAGATGGTTTAATTATTCGCTGACAGAGGGGTTAGGTATATACCACATGTCAACTTGACTTACGTGCCTGTGGGGCCCAGGTAGCTTAACTTCACTAAACCCTAACAATGGTCTCTACACTTTCACGGGGCGAGTCTTTGTCTTCGTATTCATGCTGTACAGATACGTACTCATCGACGAAAATTAAACGCATATTGTTCTCCCATTCCACAAAATAGTGTAGAGCTGAGAAACGGGCTGGCGTAGGGGTTAACGCCCTTGGTTCGTACATGGTGAGTTCTCGGTTCGAATACCGACCGGGACACTGCCTACCTCAACTAAGATCCTCTTTAAATAATTTGTGGAATACTTAAACTTTCAGAGATTTAATTCTGTCACTGCCTGTACTAATCTTTAACACTCTTTTGGTAAAAACCTGTAATACCTGATAATTGGGGTTTGAATACGAATGTGTGTAAGCTGAGACATCCTAAAAGGGTGAATGCTATTTTCTGTTGAGGTGGAGCGTAAAGCTGATCACTCACCCCCTCCAAAGCCCGGACAAAACTGCACAAANGGTATTTCAAAGCCAAACAGCCGCCAAAGAAGACTCCAATCCCATTTTTGCCTGGTTGCTGTGAATACTAAATAATTAGTTCTTACGTTTAAATTTGGCAAACTCATAAAGTAATAATAATCATACAGCTCCAGTCTTATCTACAGAGTCATGCTGTGCCTGTCGGTAAATGTAAATATATTATAGCATGTAGAGAGCTGTTACTAAGTTACGGCACAATAAACAAGTTATCAGCGTAACAATTATTGCACACTCAACAGAACAACACGTCACAATGGGAGGTATGCGGGAGGTGTTCTCTACGCGGTCCGTGCGACAGCTGCTATGTGACGTAACAACAGAACTGTTGGGAGATACGACCGTTCAAGTGACTAGACTGCCGTGGTAGCAAATTATACTAGAAATAGGGCATAATCTGCTGTACAATGCCTGGATTGACAGAGGCCTTGTATATATTGTACATAGAAATAGTAATTAAGACTAGAATTAAATTGTAAATATATGTCAATACTGACAATGGACTGACTAAGACTGACAAATGACAGACCCGACCTCTCGTCAGAGAGGGCGCCCCAAATGGACAGGACAGCAACTTTCACAAAGAAGAAAACATCTGGTCATGAGCCCCAGCTGAGGCTCGACACCAAGGCAGACAGACTGACTGACCGTCAGTTGCAACATGACTTTGACTTTGTTGGGAGAGGTGTTTTCTGTTGGATCCGCTCCGAGGCTATGTCACTCGATCGATCGAATTCAGTTGGAGTCGATTTGAGTGTTGAGACAGTCGCCGGCCAGTAAGGACGTGAACACGGAAGTTGAGGAATCTGCGGCGTTGGAAGCCGTTACCAGACAGTGACTGGTGAAGACACATCAGACCGGAAGACTTAGTACGTGCTGTAGTGAACTGCTAAGTGTGTGAATTAGCGACAGCGCTATAGTTACTTGCAGTTACGAACTGTAAGCGTTCAATAAATCCAATTATCAATCCAAACCCCGTCTATAGTCACTCCATAAAATCGTGACAACTGGTGTCAGAAGTGGAACTGGATTCAGTTATTGGGTTGAAGACTGCAGTGGTTGGTTGTATCGTCAGCATAAAAAATGGAACAAAGGATGGAACGTCCGGTAACCGGAATAGAAAAAATGGATTCCGAGATAGACAAGCGGCCTCCGTAGTCTAGAGGTAACGTTCCCACCTCATGACTCGTAGTACGCGGGTTCAAATACCCGGCGGAGGTCGTCGAATTTTTAAGGGCGGAAAAATTCAGGGAACAAGTCCTCCAGGAGGGACTTTAAGCCGTGGGTCCGGTGTCGTAGCTTTACGGCACGTAAAAGAACCTCATATCTCCAAAGGAGGTCACTGAGCCAAATTAACGGACGTTTCCCGCCCAACAGCAGTCTCTAATACCTCTGGTAGATGGGGGAAGCATTATAGATACCTCTCAGCTAGTAGAGCCGGTCTCGCTGGCTGGGCGGGACTGATGGTAAGCACCAGTACCGGTAGGATATAGAGACTGGTAGAAATCATAGAGGGAAGCACAATGGACCAATACAGGTATCAGTGTATGGGGAAACCCACCCTCTCCAATAACTAACTACCGAGATAGACGCCAACAAAGAAAGGATGATGACCAGGTTAGATGCCTATCAAGAAAAAAATGGATGCCAGGTTAGAAAAAATGATAAACAATCGAAAAGAGACGACGGCCTGCCAAGAAGCGAAAGAGGTCTATCTAGAAAAGATCGAAGCATCGTTAACATTTGTTCATCTGTTCGCATATCCTTGAACAGTCTACACCACTCTTACAGTTCCTTCACTCATTATGTTTTGGCCGTAAACGGCGCATAATTCGCAAATGATTTCGGCAGCACTTGTGTTTTTAGCGTGTCGAAAGCGGATAACAGCATGAATTTCGCAGCTGGCGGGATTATCAATCGCAGGACACTTCATATCTCACTCTGTAGAGACAAGAACAAACACTAGGTGATCAGTTACGTGATGGTTTAATGAGTCATATGATGCTACTTCGCATGTGCGAGCTCTCCCCTGTTCCTACATTAGTTGCCTAAAATAAACTGGGGTTACTTTCCGAACAGCCCTCGTATTTACACTTCACGGATCATTTATAGCAGTATTTCTCAATCGCCGGGCTGCGGCCCGGTACCGGATCCTCGTCTTAGAGAAAAAACATTTTACCTGGTCGCGGTCTGACAAAGGTTGAAACCACTTATTTATAGAACGAAGACAGGAATAATACAAATGGAAATACAGTATTTAATACAAATAAATGCCTGTTACAGATATTTACAAACATCTTACTTTATACAGGTGCAGAACAAATTAATCATGTAAAAGAAATATTATATTGTAGCATGCACAACCGTTGATATGCAATGACCGAGGTGAATAAACAGCGACCGTTTATAGACAACGGCTCGGTCAACACTTTCCCTTGGTAACGAATACGCACGTAACAATAGAAGAACGGTTTTCTATGTGGTCCCTGCCTAGATGTTATAACTAGGACAGTTGGAGCAATGAGTGGTGATATACATTTACCACAATACAGGTCGCTAGGCATACCCACGGGAATATACAAACTGATACACTTCTCCACTAGGAGGCGACGAAAAGGGAAGTCTCAAATCTGAGACAGTAAAATACGGTCACGAGTCTGAAGGGACTCTGAGCAGAAAAAAACTGCGCTGGCAAGGACCAGTATCATATACAAAATACAGAATCACACTCTCGTCAGAGAGGACGCCCCACGAAAACAAGACTGTAACTGTGAAACAGCAATTAATATCTGGTCATGAGGCCCAGATGGGGCTCGACACCAAGAATTACTGACTGACTGACTGACTGACTGACCGTCAGTCGCAATGTGACTTTGACTCTGACTTTGAACCATCGTAGTGAGTTGAGTTCTGCAAGGGACGCTGAGAAGAGATGGGCAATGTTGCACAAAGAACCCGGAAAGGATGGACGTTAGGGATGAGACGTTGGGCGAAACCGGAGTGTTATAACGGTATAAGGAACCGAGACTTGATGGGGTGGCTACGTCTTGGAAACGAGAGGGCATCCGACAGGATCTTAGGGAAAACCTTCGGGCTGGAGATCGTGAAGCGCATAGCCGGATCTTCCATCAGGATTCGAAAAACGTGACAGGACATTATGGAGGGGTCGGCTTCCACCGAAACGAAAGAAGAGACAGTACACAGAGTAGGAGCCATAAATGTGGGTGCACTGGCCACTTTCGGGACGTTTGCGCCAACCGATCGGAAAAGCAGGATGATTATGGTAGCTGGCGAGTAAACACTGTGAAAACCGAGCGATGGGGAGGAAGATGAGACAACGCACAGACGCTGGAAGCACAGCACTCAGAAAAGGAGAAATGGTGGTACGCCTCTAGGCCATAAGGAACGTACAGTCTTATAGAAGGGGCAATGTAGCATGTACAGCCGTTGCTATGTAACGACCACGAGATAAGGCGAATAAACAGTGGCCGTTTCTTGGCAACGGCTCGGTAAACACGTTCCCGCTGTAACGAACATGCAAGAAACAATAAAAGAACGATACTTCCTATGTGACCCATGCCGAGAAGTTATAGCCAAGACAATGGAGCAATGAGTGGGTGATGCCACCACCCCCCCAAACACACGATGTTTACCTAGCCCTCTTTGCCAACGACACCCGTTTGTATGCGACAGATCGCGAAGAAGGTTCTGGTGTCAGAAAACTCCAGTGTGCTCTCAGCTCAATGGAGACCTAGTGTGAGCGCTTGGATATTGTAATTAATGAAGATAACACTCGTGGGATATACACGTACTTTTCTCACAGTTATCGACCGCCTGAGTCCCATCTTACACTGAATAGATGAAACGCTCCATTTGTAAATAGTGCAAAGTATCTCGTTGTAATCTTCGATAAGAAAGTTACATGGAGATTGCACATAGAAATGATCGAAGCCAAGGCCTTCTGAACATTTATTAGAACGTAATCCCTATTCAAAAGTGAGCGATTAAGCGCTAACATTAAATTGACCCTCCACGAAGCACTCATTAGGAGTACAATGACTTATGCTTGATCTGCCTGGGAGTTTGGGGCAGACAACCATCTACTGCAACTTGCAGCTCCTGCAAAACAAAGTTCTCCATGCCACTGGAAACTTTGTAAGGAGAACACCGATTCGCGATTTGCACATGGCTTTCAAACATATATGATTATATAACAAAGTTATGCAGGCAACAAGCAGAAGTAATACAAAATCATGAAAATGCAAATGTTTGTAACACTGGACAAGGCAAACCCTGACACAGGAAATATAAGAAGCTTAAACTTGGCGGCAGTCAAGCATATGATTGTTAAAGTGAATAGACTACCATTGTAGCAGGAGCTGCTAATGATAGGGCATGAACTGACACAGGCCTTGTATATGTTGTATATACATGTGAAATGTAAATTGTACATATGACAACAGACTTATTACTGCTGACTGTGACTGGAAAATGAGAGACCCATCCTCTCCTCAGAGAAAACGCCTCACATCAAGCCTGCAATGGTTGGACAGTAATAAAGATCTAGTCTTAAGCACAAAATGGATGCTTTATTCCAAGACAGACTGGCCAACTGGCCAACTGACCATCGGTCATAAAATAAGACTCAGTGGGGAGCTGAGTTCTGCAAGGGAGGCTGAGAAGAAATGGAGCTATATTTCAGTTGACAGTTGAGTTGTAGAATATTACCCAGCTGCCAACGACGCGTGCACAGAAGCTGAAGAATCTCCATTGTTAAGATCCGTTACTAGGAAACGGCTAGTGAAAGCAGACTGAGAAGACAGTGTGTGCTCTAGAGATCTGTAAAGTTTGTAGATTAGTGATAGCATTGTAAGTGCTTGTAGTTCCTAGTCATGTGTATAAGTGGTAAATAAATCTATTCACCAATCCAAAACCTATCTATAATCACACATACACATGACAATATTCTTCAATATTTACAATACTTAAGAATATCAAATTAAGGTAAATTATTTTACCAAGGAGAAGAAGTGAGATAACAGCATTCTTTTAATGTTGGCTTAAACACCTTTACATTATGATTTGAACTTTTAATGGTAGATGGATACTACTGATTCCTGTGTAGTGCACTCCTTTATGATATCCAGTGAGGTCAGCATTTGGCATACAGAGATCATGTTTATGTCTTGTGTTTACTTTGTACATGTCTTAATTTGTCTGAATCCTTTATATGCTACATACAACAAGATAATGAAAGTAAATGCTTGCTGGAAATTATATTAGAGATCTAATATAGTTCTCAATAAGACACTGCCTTTTTAATGACTGCCATTATTCTAGTGATTTTCTTTTGCATGTTAAATCCTTTATGATGTCTGTTAAATTTTCCCATATGATTTCTCCATATGACATGATAAAAGTGAAAATAACTGAAGTACAATAATTTTTAGAGTATCTGTCTCTGGCAGTTCCTATAGTAAGACATTCTGAACTTAGTTTATGAATAATTAATTCAATGGGTGTTTCCCAGTTTATCAGTTTACAAGTAAGTTGTTCATACTTTAAATGTTTTTTATTATTATACCCTACATTTAGATTAACACATGTTTTGCTATAAGTAACAAATTTCACAAAGCTTGTTTAGTCAAAATTTAATGTAAATGTATTGGTTTTAAACAATTTATTCAAACACGCAATGGCAATGTTCATGAAATTATGAAAGCAGTAAATTTCTGGATGTGAAATGATGATGATGATCCATCACCTGAACTACTGTCTTTAATATGTGTGCAGGTTTTCATGTCATGATCACCTAGAGAGCTATGACAGCGGGGACATGCGCTCCTGGTAGGGTCACCTATGCCACACAAATCAAAGGGTAGGGTCCAGATGAAGGACAGTATATGGTCCTACAGTTTGGGGATTGGGCATAAGTCTAACAACCTCATCTCACAAAACTATGTGTGTTATAAAACCTAAGAACAGATGCTGGATGGAGAGAAGAACATGCATCTGTCACTTACAATGCAAAGGTTCTTAAAGGACTACAATGCCATGGAATAAGCAAGTGAAGTAACAATACTACTACAATCATCAAAGAATCATATGTTTGGTTTTGGCGCTGATGGGCAGACGAAAGATCACTGATATGTATGTGAAAACATGAAAAGATCCATGTACTGAACCTTAACTAACTTCACATTTAAAAATGCCTCACTTCAGCAGTTTTGAGTTGATTCTTTTACAACCAATATATAAACAATGGAGAATCAATCACAAGTCGGTGTGCATCGAATCAAAGGGCATTAATCTGACTTCATGAAGGCTTCTCATGCTAGTTAAATCCTATTTCAAAAGAAACTACTTCACAGTCTATGCAGTACGACCACCATTCAACAAATTATTCAAGAGCTATAAAATAAACAGGTAGACAGAGGTATGTGTCGGTCTTTTAAAGCATAAAAGGTTACATTCAAGTAACGAAAATTTTGCCTAACCTAGAAGTACATAATTTAACCTAACCTTTACCAAACACTCCCCATTTTTATCCTTTGACAAATATCCTGAAAATATACCGTTTTACTTACCTTCCGGTACATTAACAGCTGAATATAATCCAAATAATAACTGCCTATAATCATAAATTGGACATTTTGTTGCGTTAATAACACCACCAGAATAACCATAAACCCAACACCCTAATCAACCTACAAACATATTCGCCAACTTCGTCATCTTAACAACAATTTTGTACACCAGAGTGCTCTGCTTCACCAAGATTAGTGAAGAAAAGACGGCTAAATAGCGCATTTCCCAAAGGAATGGATTCGTTTTGCATTTTTGTTCTCTTACAGTTGAACGGAGGTAGGATATTCCTGATTAAAATGGCAGTTTATTTCTTCGCTTCTTCGTCGTCAGATAGACTGTTTGATCCGAACGTCGAAATTCATGAATTTATGCACGCTCCATGTGTTCCTTAGTGATCCGTAGGTATCCCTGACGGGCAATTGCTGTAACGGCTGTAAATGATGGTAACTAAGAGTAATAATATGTCCTGGACATTTGTACGTTACTACCCTTTACAAGTCCCTGGTCATGCATGCAGAATAATAACGAACAAGGATAGAAAACGTTTATCGAACATGCATTGTGTTGATTTTATGAAAGTGGTTCTCCGTGGTTAAGAACCATGGCATGGAGGTACAGCTCCACGCATTATTAACCTCCGTACCATATGAAAGTAGGTGATCAATGCCGGGTCCTAGCTATTTATCTCCGGGGAAAGGGCCATCGGTAGGCTAGGTGGGACCCAGAGCTAGTCTGAATTTTGGGAAAAGAAAATCTCATGGCTTTGTCGGGAATCGAATCCCGATTCGTCTTGATTTCCCAGCCCATAGCTTAGTCGCTGTACCGACGTAATACACTCGTGCCGAGTTTCGGTTGATAAGAAGGCTGTTTTCTGGTTTCAAACAACAATTTAAACTGTGGCCTTCTGCTGATTGTGCTCCGTAGGCTCTGTAGTATGACAATGTATAGCCTGGTGCTTACCACCACTTTGGAGGAATCATCCGCATCAACTTTTCACTGAGAGTGTGATAACATTAACAAAGTGAAATTCCATTTCTTAAAGAACTGAAAACCATGCCAAGAGTCGGATAAAAATGCGGATGACCAAGAACTTGGGTCCCAGTGCCAGTTTTATGTAGGATTTACACAATATTCCTTTAATCACACTATAGCACAATGAGTTTAAGTAACATCAGCATGGCAGATCAATCATGGTTTCAACAATTTATTTATAAATGTGGTTAGGACCTAAGCTTGTCATTTAATTTTCACTTTAAAACACAGTGCTTATGTGTATTGCTGTAACATTAAATCCCCCTCAATTTTTCCTACAGAGTTTATGTGTTTTGTGTAATTCTCAGAATAAACAGTGATTTTTTACAACAGCACTAACCTGTCAGAATTTGAAAGACCTGGAGTGTTTTCTGAGAGATAGGAACTGAATGTTTAAATATTTAAGTGAATGTCAGATGTCGGTACCGGCCCCTGCACTACAGTCAGAAACAGGTCAGTCAGGTCAGGCTACTAATGTAAACGGTCAGTCTCTCGACAATATGTTGAGAGTAGTGACTGTAGTACAGCAGATNAGTGGGTTACAAAACTTACTACCTATCTTGAATTGACAAATTCTTTCTCTGAATATCCAGCCTACTGAGCACTGCTCAGGCCCTGGATAACTTCCACACTTGAAACTGATATACCTCATCATTGGGTTAGTATGTACTACAGCTTTCAGTCTCTTACATTAGGCTTTGTTAGACACATAGACGTAGACAAATGAAATTCATACTACAAAACACCTAATCAAGTACATAATAACAAACATACAAACAAAAAACCCATGGCCTGTAGTCCACAAGCGAACTATACTGACTGAGCGACCGCCGCTTGTCGGTGAAGTTAGTGCCAACTTTAGCGGATAGAGGGTGTCATGTGGTCAGCACCAGGGCTGCTATTTCCTTGAAATAACTCCTCAATTATCCTCAGGAGGCTGAATGGACCCTGTTCTAGACTCACTACTTTTCAGAAAATCTGGTAGCGCAGGAATCGAACCTGGGACCTCTGCATCTGTAGCCAGGAACTCTGACAACTAGACCACAGAGGCAGTCAAGTACACAGTATCACTGGTAAAAATTCTTTCCAGTATTTTTAAAAGTAACTACATTACACCCAATATTTGTTTGCTAACAAATTAGTTCTAGTAACATCAAGTAAATTTTTCATCACCAGCTAGCAGTCTGTAGTTGGGCCACCTATTGACCCATTCCAAGTAAAATGCTGTAGTCGACACAAATTCTTGTATACTTTGTTCAGTATTCATAGAATATACGGGGTATTTATTTGATGTGTTAATTTTTAAAACAAATATTTTAGGTACGTACTTCTGAATAGACTGTATAATATCAGCATCATCAAGAACTTTGTAATCAGGTCATTAAGACTTGTTACTATGATTCCCAAGTTTATCTTGGTCTTGTCACGAATGTTTTGGTTTTTCTAAGTCTCATGACCCCCTCACTTAGTAACAGTGTTAACTGTCGAAGACTGTCTCTCTCTCTCTCTCTGTTCTTGATTTCCTTAGTATTCTTGGTATCCTGTTCAGCCATATTCTTAACTTTAAATATTCCTCTGATGTTAGAATTCTTTGGTGATCTTATCTAGTGATATTTGTGCCACCTGTAATTTCTTGGATTCCTTAAAGTCATAAGCTTGACTGCCACCAAGTCTAAACCTCTTATAATTTCTGTCTGGCTTTGCCTAGGCATATGTAGCAAACATATTCATCCTCATGATTTTGTATAACTTCTTGTTGCCTGCACAGTTTTGTTATAAAATTGTATAAATATGGAAGGTTCAAAGCCGTGTGCAAATCGGGGCTTATGGGCACTTTGGAAAATTTCCAATGTTGCGGAGTACCTTCTTTTGCAGGCGCTGCAATTTTAAGAGGTAGGTGTCTGCTGCTAATTCCCAGGTGGGGCAAGCATAAGTAATTACTGATCTCATCAGTGCTTCATGGAGGATCAGTTTAATGTTGGCAGTTAACACTCACTTTTGAATATGGAGTAGGTTCTAATAAAAGTTCTGAAGGCCTTGGCTTCACTTATTTCTATGTGCAATTTACATGTCTTATCAAAGATTACACCGATATGTTGTACATGACTGATGAAGGTGATGTTCTGTCCATTTAGTGTAATATGAACTTAATGGGGCTTAAGCATATGAGAAAAGTAGATGGCCTGAGTCTTAATTGTCATTGATTTTTATGTTCCAGCATTCACACCATGTCTCAGTTGCAGTGAGAACCTGCTGCAGTTTTCTGAGAACATAACTCTCTTTGCAGTCTGTCATATATACACGGTGTGTCCAGGATCTGTTAGGACTCATTTCTTTAAATTTTGCCCTGCAGTGCCATCTGTTGGCGAGTTGTGGCATTAAGATTCTTGAAGTTTCAGCTGTGGCTGTCTATAATTTCAAAGGGCAAGCATTGCTACATCATGTGTTCTGACCTTGAATGTAACAGTACTGTTCTGACCCTCGTCAGAAAATGGCGGTTGATCAGAGAGCCAACATCAAATTTTATTTGAAGTTGGGCAAAACAGTTTGACAAGCACACGAAATGATGAAAAGTATGTATGGTAGTGATTGTTTGAGTCGCTCAAACATTTTTAATGGTTATGCTGTATTTCGTGACGGCAGGGAGGACATTGAAGACGCCCCACGTGCATCAAAGCCGAGCACAAGTCGCACTGAAGAAAATGTGAAAAAATGACCGAAATCCTAGCATCAGACAGATGTGTTTCTGCAAGACTCATCAAGAAGCTTTTGGGAATACCAAAAAGTACTGTGCATTAAATTATGACCTAGGATTTGGGCAAACAGAAGGTCTGTGTGCCGTCTGTACTGCATGCGCTGTAAGGTGATGAAAAACATGCCAGAGTGGAACACGGCAAAGACATGTTACGGTTGGCCCAAAGTGATACAAAATTTACAAAATCGATTGTTACTGGTGACGAGACATGGTGTTTTCAATATGAGCCTCTCACAAAGTGGCAGAGTGCAGCGTGGTTGAGCCCAAAGAAGCCGAAACCAAAGAAAGTGCGCATGCAAGAGTCGAATAAAGACACTGCTAACCGTTTTCTTTGATTCCAAAGGAATTTCTGCCAGGTCAAACAGCATATTCTGATTATTATCTCAGAGTCCTCAATCGTTTGTGGGCGAGAATTCTTCAAATTCGACCTGAATATCGAATATATTGGTCGCTCCTCCACGACAGTTCCCCACCCCACAAATCGAAGATCGTGAGCGAATTTTTGGCCAGAAAAGGGATCACAGTCCTTGATCATCCTCCGTATTTGCCAGATTTGGCTCCAGCAGATTTCTGGTTGTTCCCAAATGTTAAGTTAGCGATGAAAGGAGATCATCACAACAACAACACCATCCAGGACATCCAAAGGGAATGTACCGCAGTTTTAAATGCGATTCCACAAAAGGAGTACAGTGACTGTTTTCTAAAACTTTTCAAGCGATTCCAGGTATGTATTGATTCAGATGGTGACTATTTCGAATAAAAAGAGTGAAATTTTGAAAATAATTCACGTCTTTTGTTTTTAATGAAGACAGTCCTAACAGAAACTGGACACGCTGTGTATTCAGGTGTCATCAGCAGAGAGACCTAGATAAACACAAATTTTCTTGGGTGTTATCAGTTTTATATATATATATATATCCTGTACAGTGTGGAAGATAGGATGAAAACTTGTGGCACCCCTGCTTGTATATCCATTGGTGTAAACATTTCACCTTCAACCAAAACTTTGAATTTTCTTTGCAAAAGAAACGAACTAATAAGCTTGATTAGCCTGATCAAACATTTTAATTTCAATAGTATATATACCAAGCCAAGGTGCTGTGTTCTACTAAAGGCTTTTTTAGTATCCAAGAATACCTCAGCCGTAGACATGTTATTGTTGAAATTTAATGTGATGAGGTCCATTAGTCTCATACAATGAAGTGTCATGCTGTGGCAGGCACAACTAAACTGGCTTGCTTCAGCAGGCCTCATTTTCAATGTGCCTTTGGTCTATTTTCAGAATAACTTTCTCGAATAGCTTGCCTGTTGTAGACAAGGCAACAGGCCATAGAACTCAAAGTGACTTCACAGTTCCCTAAATTCTTTCCCACCA